GTACAGGACAAATAATCGAATGTCTTCGATATGGAATTCCATGCAGAGTTGATTGTTAATAAGTCGTAACTTATACTTTTTTTTAAAGGAAGAGCAAGATATTGAAATTGAGTTTTTCACTATCTGCCTTGTAATATTTTAATAATATCATTTTCCATGAAAATTACTGCTTGAGAAACTTCGTCCTCAGAACAGTGAAATATAATAATATGAGAAATATTAACGTATTATCTTGACAACCTTATTATTTTACACAGTAATTATGTTTTATGTAGTTTCACAAATATCATAAATTCTATCTAATTTCACATCGAAGATCAAATTACATAATAGAGTTAATGACATTTCCTTTTAATATTATAACATCAAAATTCAACACTAATTCAACATTAATTGTGAGATATACACATATGTATATATTTCATAAATAGCTTTTCTTTATGAAAACACTCATGATATACAGAACAGAGAGAAATTATGAAATAACAGATAAAAATATTCTTTGTTTTCATAGAGATTCGACGCGAGATCAATGCCGCACGTGCCAGGATTGTCGATCAAACGCGTACTGTGGAGACGAATAGTTTCGAAGTCTCAAAGCAGCTGGATTCTGCGAGGAATATCACGGATTACGTTGTACCTCATGTTATCGCTTTCGAACATATCAGATGGATCGTTGGAACGGGTACGTAAAATTTTTCAAGATTACATTGAATATTTTCCCATTATTCACCGCGTTGGTATTTGGAAAACGACCACAGAGACCGTACGAAGCATTTCCAAGTGAATAACGGATTTAAAAAGATAACTTGATAACGGTAAAGAGTTAATACGTTTCTCTATACCAATTTTCTTCTCTCTTATATTTCGATATGTTTATATTGAAATAAATTTATCTAATTTATAATATTTTTAACAATCTTAGAGAAAATTTTGAATGATTTTGTTATTCTAACTATCAAAATTATATATGTATCTATCACGTTTTAAGTAAGATTTAGAACTATTTATTAGAATTATTTATGCAACAAAATATTCGTGAAAAAGAAAAGTAATGATTTACATGCGATAAATTAAGTACAAAAAAGAAATTATACATAACACTGATACTATAACATATTCAGATCAAGTAACTAATGAAATATAATATATATTCTGTTTATTTGTGACATGTGCAGCTAGCGCTCTATGCATTTTACCGGTTCTTTCGTTACTGATTGGAGCTTTGTGTTGTCGCTGCGGATCATCCGAAAATAAAGTGCGTCCAACTCTTTTGTGGTAAGTATTATGTTACTCGTATAAATCATAGCAGAAGCAGAAAGTTCTGTTATATTGTACTTTCAGTGGCATTTTTATTATTGCGGAGTATTATATTAGACAAGGTTTTGATTGATAATCATGTGGAATTGCGTAGCACAAAGATTTGTATGATTAATGGTTTTATTCCTTGTATCGCCCAAGACACATTATTAGCTTTAAAATTACTGACAATGAGTAACATCAACATGCATGAGGTATATTGTAATACATACCTCACGTACCATATGTGCACCTTACTCATGAATACTTATGTATATGTATACGTATTGTAATACAACATATTACTACGTAAAGTGTGCATTATGGATGCTTAGTTATAACAAGGTGATTTTATTATACAATTTTTATATTAAACACTACAATATGAAATGTAAGAGTACATTGATGAGTTATATTTTTAAAGAAATACTGTTTTTAAAAAGAAAAAAGTATTTTTTAATTATTAAAGTGATTACTTTTTAAGTGTGTGTACATACACACACGCAATATAAGCTTGACATAGTATAATTAATTTCTTTCGTCATGTTCATATTGACTTATCTATCCAATAAAAGAACGAGTTCACATGTAAATATTACATCAAATCATGAACTATAATATTGTACAGAAGATCAATCCTTTTCATTTCAAATTTTTACTTTCAAATTCACAACAATTTTGTGACATTAAATACATAGCGATATTAATTTGTTTATTAATAACGTGATAGTAACGTTTTTGATAATATTATAGCATACAAAATGATATGCTGAACAACCTCGCGCGTTGCACATTTCTCTTTAAATAATCTTCTATCAGATATATATTTTTATATAAGTATGTATTACATTTGTACCAAACATACTTTTGTCTTTTCAAAAATGATGGACCACATACAAATATAACAAGATTTATTACCAGATTTTATTACATGACAGTAGGAATTTATCATGCAGAGATGGTAATAATGTAAATAAATATTTATATTATCATTTAATAAGCTCTGACAACAGATAACTTGATCGGAGGTAATAGATCTTACAGATCTAATAAAACAGATCGCTAGATTGAGTGTGTCGATCGGATTTCAGTGGCGTAGCTACGAGCTGTTTCGTCTCGATTACACTATGGGCAGTGTTCATTGTCGCTTTGGGCATTGCCAGCCACACAGAAATGTTGATATGTCGACCGCTGTACGATCCCGACTATCGTACTATAGAAGTTATGCTGGAAACTCGAATGTTTTTAGGAAGAAAACTCACATTTCCTCTCAAGGAACTTTTTGAGTAAGTTCCGTTTTCTTACTGTAACTAAATAAATAAACTCACAAATAGATTTATTATCGCCAGTAAATAAATGAAGCTTTATGATAAACGATTTTAAAAAGCTATAGATTGTATTGAAAATTACAAACTAGATACTGTTACAAAAGTTGTCGATTAAAACACATATTTTACATATATATATATATTTTTTTAATCGATGTCGTAATTATATTTCCGATCAAATGAACTTTTTCATTATATGAAATATAATATTTTACAAATTTTAACGACGGCATCGTTTAGCTTAAAATAAATTTTACATAGTTTAACTGCAGATTGGAGTCTGAATATAAATTATATTTTTTATTTGTATTTTTTATTACATACCTTTTAGGAATATGACAGGCTGTAATATATAGACAGAGCCACTGGTTACAATGTGTGTTACGGCTTTCAGCAGCAATATTTATTTGCAGAAAATGTCGAAACAACGAGGCAGCTTATCCCGCCTTCGGGCTGGAAAACGCGATGAAACTGGAACATTTGACTGCGCATTGGACATGGCCAGGCTTGTCTAGAGCAATCTCAAATATTAAAGTCGATTTGAAAGGTCTCCAAATATTAACGCCGAATTTACGGCAACGTCTTCAGGATCTCTTGTATGCCTGTGGTTTGAATCTCACCGCGCATAGAATTATGGTACCTATTCATTTGCAAGTGTTTGTTGCTGTTAAATATATTCTAACTTTTTAGTCTTATGTTCTTCCAAATGAAAACGGAGTCTTTGTATTGTAAAGTTAAAGCAATGGTTTTGACTAGAGTTTAATAACTTGATTAAAGCTCGAGATTACTCGGGCTTTGAAGAATTTTTTGAAGGAAAAATCCACCGGCATTAAAGGGAAGTAACAAATTGCGCAGCTGCATCACTACGTAATGCTAGACGGCTACCATGATAAACGACACGGATTTCACAGCGAGTTGTTTCCGTGATTATGGTTTAAAGCCACTACTAATTAAAGTCTATTTAGCTGCGCATAACTACGCCAATTCATCAAGTGTATAACGTACACATGTACATTTATTTTCATATCTTACAATCTCTCGTATATGCAAATTATTCATATAATTAGCATGCTTTCCCATTTTTCATTTATGATACTCTCAGTTACAACATTTTGCAAAGAAAAATATATTCTGAAGGAAATCGACTCTATTAATTTCTTCGATAAAATCTCAACTAGTTTCTATTCTCTCATAGATTCAAGGACCGATTCTCAGTAAAGATATAAGCACATTGGCCGATCAACTAGACAATGTATCCCGTCAACTGCAGGATCGAGGTATCGCCAGGGAACTGCAAAGCATTGGGACAACAATGCGAGATCTGGCATTGCGACGAGTAACACCGTTGATGAGGTTACAAGATGATCTGGTCTATCGTCTTGCAGTTCTAGAGTTGCAAGTGCAACCTCTTTGGCGTCAAGTTAATCAATCGATCTCGCATCTGAGGACAATACAATATTATATAGATCATCAGGGAGAGAAGATTGCTCAATTGGTGAATAATGGTGTTGACAAATTTTTCCTTGTAGATTATTTAAAAGAAATAATATCGTTGGATATTCGGAAAACACCACACACTCTAGGCATTTATCGTTTAATAATCGTTTGCAGAAGACGAAGTTGTACGTGGACCGACTATCGAATTACCTAGATCAATGGCGGACGCACGTATTCTCTGAGATGAGCACGGAAGTATCTAAGTGTCGACCCTTGTGGAACGTTCTAGAAGGACTGAGATACTTACTATGTGCTCACATTTTAAGTCCTTTTGTATGTGTAATTAAATGTATCAATTAGATATTAAGTAATTTAAATATATATGTAAGTAAAAACAGGAAGAAAATAAATATTCTCAACGTGTGATAGTAGATGAATAACTAATGTAGCAAGAAATCACGCATTTTTAATAAAATTCCTTATGTATCTACAATTTCAGGACGGTTTCTGGTTTGCTACGTTCGTATGCGTAATCGTCATGATAGTCAGCACACCAACGGCTCATATTCTGTCACTGGCATATAAGAAACCGCCTCGATTCGTAGAAGATGCTACCCTGTTGTCAACAAGAACGTTAGAATCACATTCTTAATTAATTAACAAATCTAAAGGATCCAAAATATAATTATAAAAATAATATCTTTCTTCAGGCAAAGTCTCAATATGGATGACGATAGAACGTGGCAGATGCCAGAGTAAATCATTATTAAAATCTTTTTTTTACTTTATATTTAAGTAATTTCAATATAATAAAATTCACTTTTTAACTGAAATTATATTTTAGCCCGCCGCCGCTGCCGCCACAAAACGATTGGTAACAAACAAGGACGAAGGACAAGGACTTCGCGTTGCAGGCAGACTCAGAAAGAAATGAATACAGCATCACACACAAGATTTAATATAGCAAAAACATCGAAGAAGCTTGAAGTTATAGATAAGTATACAAAATAAGTTTTACTTGTATCTAATCGTAAGCAGATTTCTAGAAGCCAACTGCCGTTCATACGTTTCCATCGAGTCTACTTGATCTCAAAATTGGATCATTTGTGCGAATAATTCTTCATGCGTCTGTTTGTCAGGAAAATAAACCTCCCCAATGTATTAGTCAGCTTGTTTTCTCTTTCATTGTATTCGTATACACAGCAGTTATACGAAAGATAGTGCCACAAGGTAAAAGTACAATCTCACAGTATAGACACGAACGAAGACGTGCTTGCTTCGCCTATGGAATTGTTAGCAATGCAATAATACATCCCAATGTGTTTTGCATCCAGCCGAGCCAATTGCATCCACGATGTTCGCATAAGTGACTCTGGGCCCTCGCTCGTGTGTACTGTCGCCTCGTGCTCCTCTCCTATAAATGAAACTATAATTACTGAATTCTGTGGGGTTATATTTATTTATTTATATAATTATCCTGCAACACACATAACGCGTAAGTCTTGCAACAAACTTGAGTGCTGTTAAATGCTACTGCCAGATAAAATTTTAACATTGTTTTCTCATTCTAGCAATTGTATTTAGATCCACTTGATTTATTTGCACGTTATATTTTAATCCGCGCAGCGCGAAAACGTTGTGCAAAATTTTTCATTTTTTAACCATTAAATATTGTATCACTTTACCTGGCAATTTCACTACGCTTCTCCCGTCAGCCGAATGAAATTCCCAGAAGATATCTGGCACAGGGAAGCCCTTTGCCTCGCAATTAAGTGCGACGCGTTGACCAAAAGATGAGACAACATCTTCCAAAGTTGATAGAATCCAAGGTCTACTTTCACAAGGACCGAGGTGTTGCAACCTCAAGGAAGATGAGTTCCTGAGTTTCATCGCTTCTTCGTGCAACGCGCACGGCGTCGGGTAAGTTTCGTTATTGCTACCGCACGCCGGGCTCTGTTCCATACAGACGCAGGTTGCCTCCGGAGCATCCTACATAAAAATTCAATCCGTTCGTTTTTTATTACGTACACGCATCTTTCTCCTATATTGTAAGACATTATTATCGCAATTTTCTTCTTGTTACTGCTTTTTTCCACTTTATAGATAGAATGACTATCGAAGACAAAACATTCACAACACAATTCTCCCATTTTACTACGGAGAAGTTAAATCGTTTGAAGTTGGTAATATGGTACCCTGTGCGCTAGCACGTTTTCGCTATATCCTGAGAAATTCTACGAAACTGGAACAAACGTAACACTTGGCGCAAATAGTCTTTATAGATAACTCGCTCAACTAGGAAAATAATTAGTGACTGTTTAAATAGTTTGATGTAGTTCAATGTAATTAAACAGTTGATGTAAATGATTAGTATTTATGCAGTTACCCGGAACGAACTGTGCGATAGGTGTTCCGGCTATTTAAGTACGGCTGCCACTCTTTAAGACCATATAGCGAAAAGTATTCTTATCCAGCCCGCGTCTATCATAAACGGTCTGCCTGATTGTTTGATTGCATGACGTGTGTGCGCATATATTCACAATGCGATCACGGCCTACGGTGCGCGACAAGACGAAATTAGATGCGAAAAGGCTAGCGGAGCGGGTCAGCGACCGTAAGTCGCCGGTGACTGCAATCTTGAAGCTACGTTAGATCTGACTGACAGCGTAGCTCGTAGCACAGTGGGTGGATGATATACGCGGGTCTGCATTAGATATCGTTTGCGCAATGACGCGTGAGTTTTGTGTCGAACTAACCCAGAAACCGAGACATCTCATTACCGGGCTCATTGAGACCGAGTGATCTAGAACGTGATCTCCTTAAATCTAATTGCGAAAGTGAATGTATCACTTACGGAGGTGATAAATATCGCCCGTGATGACATTCTTAACTTCTCGCAAATTCAATGAATGTTCTTTAAAGGAATCTGGCCTTCAGAGGAATCTGTCACGACAGTGTGGAAATTATACATACCTAACATTTGCTTTAAACAAACAGATGTATAATACATCGAGTGGGATGCTGTCTTTATTTAAATTAACTTTTGGATTATTTATATGGACGGTTATATCAAGTCATCGATAATATCACACACAACCGGGTAAGTTATCGGACGACCGAGTTTCGAGAGACTGTGCGAAATCAGTACCTATCATGGAAATATTTGGAATAAATTCCGACCGGAATAATTCCGTTTTCCCTATAATAGAAGACATAATAGAAATCTTGAAAATAACTAAGCAATTCCGATCGGAATTTATATTGAATATTTCCATAATACACGTCCCTGGTCTAATCGCTGAAAAACTGTGCATGACACAAATACGTGATCGAAACGGTTGTTGTGTATGTAGCAACACAGATGAGTGCCCGAGTCCTCGAAAGTACTCGATACTACAAACAGTAATATTTGAATGTGACGAACAAATAAGAAGCAGGAAATTCTAGAAATATGCCTACACAAATAAATTGAAAATTTCAGAAATGACACGAAGCACGTTCATTCATACTCTTCGTGTTGAGAAGAACGATTTTCTAAGGTGTTAAAAGTTTGCTTTTCAAACTAAAGATTTCTTGTAAACTCGAACTACATTTCGTACCTTTTCTTCTAAATCGGAGCGTAACTCGCATAGATAATTTCTTGCACAGTATCCATCGTTACGGCTCTTTGGAGATAAAACAGGGATGCTGGCGTTCCAACATGGTTCGCCAAGGAGACGGGCGCACAAACCAGTCTCCGGACAGCATCCACAAGGATCAGGTACCGAGCCCAGCAAGCATTTTCCAGAATTCTCCGGACATCTGTACGTGCGCAGTGAACGACGAAAAGAATATTTTATGATAGCTCATCGAATCTTAGAAAGTTTACCTCAAAGTTTCTAGATACTTATAATTTAGGATAAGAAGTAATACTTTTTAAAATTAGTTTAAAAGAAGTATTTTTCTTCCTAAATTATAATATAAATGAATTAAAAGAAAAATATAAATGGATGTGCACAGAAGAATTGAAATTCCAAACGAGAGATTCTTAATGCTGAATTTATTTCCCTCTGCTTTGTATTACGCTACAGCATTCGATTGCATCCAGCTTTATCCGCGACCGCGTGTACCTGTAATATCCGCACTCGATGCAACCCTCTGGCTGCGCTTTCTCAGTGACGCTCTTATTTTCGATGGTCCCTGCGACAACGGGAGCGCCTCGTCGGAATGTTGCACAGAACACCAACACCGTTAAAAACGTGAACGGAAACGCTCTCCGGCACGTCATTTCGCCGACTGACAGAAAGCGCGAGCGTCATTCGCTATGTCACTCCCGATGTGATGGGGGAGGTTGAAGCGTTATGTGTATCGCGTATATTTAAAAAAGAAAATCCACGCGAGATCACCGCTATGCATACTCTCCCGTTATTTAACCATCGCGTATTTGTACTTTATAAATATAAATCGGCGAAAAAATACTATAAATTACGTTAAAATAAACGAAATATATTTTTATTGTTCAAATTAATATTCTCACCTGTACGGTTCGATGCATTTGTTGATCAGACATTTATTCATCGTTACACATTGTTTCACATTTCGTGTATATGTTGTATCGTGAATTTTATATTTGGAACAAAGCGTAATTTACAGGCTGTTTGATCAAGTTTATATTTCGTGCTAACTTTTATTGCAAATTTCTAGAATTGTGTATCTTCACTCACTTATATGTGCGTGCGTTTTGGCAAATTCAAATGTTCTTTATTCTATTTCGTTTAAACCGAAGAGTATTTCGTACAATTATAAGCTCAGATATTTCCAGCAGATTCTCTTGCGTAACAAGTAACGGCGGCAAAGGGCTGAACCGGAGGACCAGGTAACGGCTGCAAGAATCAGTAGGACGAAGGATATTAGTGCCAACGGGCTTGGTACGAGAGTCGAATAGCCGATACCACCGAGATTAGAAAATACATCGCAGCAAGCACTCGCGCTCTTCTTCGCGTTTGTTTGCGCGTGTGCGCTCAACGTTCCCTCCGATGTACCGCTGGCACCTACTGGATGCACCACACCACGTGTCACATTGGTCCTTTGGTCACAACACAAGGTACAGTAAACATCAGTCTCTAGCGCATTACATAATTAAATTAACGAGACGAATTTCCCGAGTTTCTCAAAATTTTTGAACATGTACTGAAATTTATTTTTCTGCGAATCTCAAATGTGCACTTTATTAAAATCGACATAGCTAAAAAGTTTGTAACTTAAAAGCGGGATATTTAATCTATCCATTTTTTATAACCTACATAAGTAAATTCGTATAAAAATACATAAAATGTAAATGATAAAATATTAAACGTTAGATGTGCTTGCATGAAATACATTAAATAATTAAAATGTATAACAACAATTATTGCCAAATAGATCTTTTTCAAACAAGGGATTTGCGTGGAAAAAACGAGCTCATTCATACCAAAACACTAGCCCATTAATTTTTGAAATTATCTCGACCTACTTGAAATATTTTTCAACCTATTAATAGCTTTTTCTCTGTGTTAACGACAAAAATATTTTACATATAAATATGCTCTCTCGAAATTTTATTCGCGACTCTCCCATTCCTGTCGCTGATTACTTGGACATGTTACAGACGCGAGCGGGTAATTTCGATTTGCGGAGTGACGAAACGGGCAACTTGCTCGCCAGACGACTCAGGTGAGGAAGATTGAACGATCGCGAATCGTAGGAGACGGCAGTTTTGAAGCGCGTTCAATCGCATTACGCGATTTGCCCGAGGTAAGCACTAGCATCTGTCGTATCCTTTCCCGAGGACCCACCACCCCTGCGTTGCCTGTCGATCCCACGTGTCGGTGCGGTTCGCCCGGAATGCTTGTCGAAGCACCCGCCAGCACGGTCCAACACGTGCCTGCGGTGCATCGCGAAAAGTAACGCCACGTCGAAGCAGCGTTTTATTCGGCGCCGATAAATCCTTTAGCCGACTAAGTGATTTCAAACGACTTGATAGTCTCGCCGAAACAAGATTCCCAGACGCGTTTCCTCCAGTGTGTGGATTTTCCTCATGGGATGCACAACAATCGGGCTCTACGCCGCTGTCGCACGGAGCGTGGGCAGGTGAAGTGTACCACGAGTCCTTTGAGGATTTCTCGGCGGTACATCCTTCAAGAGTCTCCGCCGCGTTTTCAAAAGCGGTCCCGTCCCTTTCCCCCGACACGTCGCGCGAATCAGGATCGACAGACTTCGAAGGGTTCGTAGTCTCCGACAAATTCGTGAACGTCTTTGACGTTGAATTCTGTCTATTGTTCAGCATTAAATTGCGATTTTCGTCAGTGCATTTGGATCCAGTCTCGGATCCAGCGCAGTCCGCCGCGTAACGACAGTCGCGACCTTTCTCACTGTGTAACTCTCGTCTCTCATCGTCACATTGTTCGCTACACATGCTACTTTCCGAGCTCTTATCGTCAATGATCGCGCGCCAAGACTGACCTGTGCAGGACGAAGAGGGTCGACCACCACGCTCGGTGCAGAAGGTCAGTTTTCTGCAAGGTGTCGAAGGTCGACAAGGCGAAGCTGTCGGAACCGGCCGGCGACAAGGTGGGCAGGACGGACACGGCGAGCAAGGTTCCTTGAGTGGCAAGGATCGTCGACACTTGGAGGATGCAATGCACGGACCGCAAGTAGGCGGCGGACACGGTTGACACGGCGGGCAGTAACACTTGGGACCGGGTGGTAACCGAGGAGACGGACAGCAAAGACGGGCGTTGGGACACTCGACTGTCGCTCTTGGGAATCTTCGTTCGCCGGGTGGACAAGCGCATTCCGGGCTGAACGGAAAGTCGCAGGAACACTCGCGGGTAGCGCGTGCGTCCACCTGAATCGGTGGCGGGCAGTTACAAGCACGTGGCATCGGTTGGCACAGGCAGCAGCGATTTGTATTATTGCACTGGCAACAGCTGCGTTTTTTCAGGATTGATCTCAGGGCACAGGGCTGGCAGTTGGGTGCCCGATGCGACACAGCTCGAGGATACCCGCGCTGCGAAGGACAGCAGGACGGAGCGGTCGACGCGCAATTCGTGTTAGGAGAATTACAGCGGGTCGATGGATGACTGCAGTTTGGCGGCGGGCAACCACCGCCCGCTTCCCGTCTCGGGGGTTCGGGTGATGACGATTTATCTGCCGGTGCCATTTCCGATTTGCTTGCCCCACCCGCTAAGCGACGGTCCCCACAGCATTTCTGTCGAAGATAGAAGAATCTGACGACAGTTACAAAGCGAGGCACGACTTATCGCTCGAACTGCAGTTGCCGGCGTCGCCGATCTTAAAATCGCCGTCCGTTTGTAAAAATTGCCCCGTAATACGGTGATATCTCTTAAGTCAGGCGGAGATAAAGGTAACGAACGTAATGGCCGTGTACATTGAAGTTACAGCAGTCGAGCTTCGGTCGCATTTTAAACGTTTAACATTTTAAACGTTCCAATTACTAAGCCATTAAAGTCTGTATACAAATTAGTTTGGCCAACTTCACAAAATTTTACCGAATAATTAAGAAACTTTGAAACGCTCGCCTACTTCTAACTATACTATGCTAATTTACATAAATCGAGTACGCAAACTAACCGCGCCTGAATTAAATCCTTGCAGTCCTCCTATCAAATTTAATTAAAACGTACACAGGATGTCAGAAGCATTAACTATGCCTCGCATTGTTCATTCCGCATTACTCAAACCTGCCGATTCCGTCTCGGTTTGTCATACACACCGACTATGTTTGAATTCAAATATGAGTAATAGTTTTTTTCAAATATTCCACTCAAACATAGTTGAGTTTTGTATCGTTAGATACTCGAGTCAATTATTAATATTGAATATTGAAGTTGCTATTAATGATAAAATATTTCTAAAACAGGAATCGAGCAAGAATTGAGCGATCTTAAACTTGAACAGCGGGATTAAGAAAATCTACTGTTTTCCTCGCGCCAGCATTTACTTTCGTCTCCCGTCGCAGTAAATGGATGTAAGATTTACTACCTCAAAGGAATCTCGAGCGTTTTAAAACGTATCTCAACGAGGAATCTACCTCGGTGTGTACCTGACAGTCCGACGTAAGCAAAATGGTACCGGAACACGGGGACGTCGGTGAGAGGCACGGCCGGCACGAAGCGACAGTTCTGCTGCGAACAAAATGCAACACGGCGCAAAATAAGAAAATCCAATAATTCTTTCAATATCTCCGGAGAGAGGTATTCGCCTAGCGTTCATATTCATTCGAGAATTCTCTCCGAGGAAACATAAAGAAGAGAACGAGAGCGACGCTACAAATGGACAGTGCTTTCACGAAAACAGAGATAAGCACTAGCTCCAATTTCCTCCAAAGCAGTCAATAAGTTTGCCCTAAAATATTGCGGATGTCGCGCGCGGGCAACACTTTTCTTACGCGCGCCAAAACCAGCCGGCGGTGAGGGCTGTTGAATTTTACAACGCGCTTTAATACAGAGCGTTGATGAAACACTTGGAAACGAGGGAAACCGATATCGTTATTGGATTTTTTTGTTCTTTGGGGAACGAGGAGAGCGAGCGAACGTTCCGAATTGATGTAGAAGGTTTCAGTTTTATCGTCGCGTCGCCTCGCTGGAGAACGACGTCGGTTTCTCTCCCGGTGTCATCCAAGACGCCCGATATTGCCTCAACTATCGTGTATTTCCCTACCACACTCGGCTGCAGCCGCGGCACTTGTACGCCTGCTGGCGACCGTGGTCGCTCCATTGACGGCGCAGCTCGGCGAAGTTGCTCCACCATCGGCAATTCGGTTTGGGTGGCGCGTTACTGTTCCAGATTTCCTCCTCGGCGCACTGGCACGGCCCAGGACACGCGCCCGTCGCGACGGGCCGCAACCCACCGCAGGCACCGCGATCCAGGCATACGTTACTTTGGCAATTGCACGAGGACACTCGCGCCTCGCAACCGCTCTGGCCTGCTACACAGTTGGTTCCTGCAATACGTTGCAAGGCCATCATTCTCAAGTATACTTGTACGAAGGATTAGATCAATTTCAAAAGGTAGGAAATCACACTCTCTCGGCGATTTCAGAATCTTGGTATTCGAGGCACTTTGCTGCTTTAAAATAGAATACATTCGTTCAGTTATAAAATGAATCGCTTTGAAGAATATCTTTCTCAAGGAAGCTGCACGTTTACGAATAATGTACTTTCTCGGGAGATATACGAGGTGCAATTAGAGGATGTTCGAGAAGAAACTGAAACTCTCTCGGTGATTTAAAAATTCCATTTTAGAATCCATTCGAGACACTTTGTTGTTACAAAAGGAAACACATTTGTTTAAATTATGTGAATTGAATCCCTTTCAAGTACACCTTTTTTAATTCAAACTGTACGTCTCCGAGTGATGCAAGGTACATTAATTTCTTGCTAACGTTTATCGCATTAACAATTAGCTTTATAAAATTTTAAAATCGTGACTTTTGCAAAACACATTGGTAAAATGTCAATAAATCAATATCATAGAATAGCTATGAACGAACCCTGATATACAGAAATATACGAGCGAAATAATTACTAGAAAATTATTGTACATCAGTAATTTCAAACGATTCGATTACTGAACTTTAATAATTAATTATTCAGTGCTTTTTCCATTCCCAATACGTGCATTTCTGTAAGAGAAAGCTGTTAAAATTTTCCTCTTTGCTTGTAAATGATATAATATATCATTTACAAGCAAAGAGGATACCAAATTTTATGAATAATAATGGTTAGTAATTAAACTATAAACCATCGCTATTATTTTAACTTTTGAATGAATTATGAAATTGCTACTATTTTCCTTATGACACTGTCTACTTAATTTGTATACTGACCACAGCAATCGATGGTAGAACGCCGTCCCTTACTGTCAATTTCATCACAGGACATATTGATTTTTCTCCGAGACAAAATCTAATTTTCCAAAAGTGAGAACTTCGCGCAGGTGTGCCATTTACGATCCGGAATAAATAATACAATCGACAGGAGCATTTGCACGGTTTTGGCTTACATTTTTGAATAGTCTATCGCGCCGGTTTGCTTCATTGATTTATCGGTGACAAAGTGTGCTTCGACATGTGACTGAAGGTGTGAAGATCAACGAAGATCGATTGCGAGATACATGAAAATGTCCATTTATGTACAATGTTAATAATTCCTCTAGTTGCCATGGAAGCAGCATGCACGATTCTGTAACGTGAATATAATTTATTTACACTTATTATACGACAGATATAGGAAGAGCTATCTTTTTACTTACTTTTTAATTATATCACGAAAAATGTGAATATATAAAAAGTGAGTAAAAATGATACAAAACGAAAAAGTGACTCAACATAATACCTCAATTATGACTTATTGTATATAAATTTTATACAAAACGAAGATAAATCTGCAGTTTAACGACCCTACCACTGATTGTTGTAAATTTTTTCAGAATTCGTGTGTTTTACACGCAGGATATATGGAATAAAAGGGTACATATTTCATGTACTTTCCTTTGGAAATTTAATTAAAACAAATATTCCTCGCAAAATATGTTGTATACATACAATTAAGTTGTACAAAGTAGACCGCGGTAATTAATGCATTATAATTGAAAATAATGTAAAATTAATATACACTTCTTATTATGGTACTTAGTTTCGTTTCATTCTCCGGATGCAACGAAACGGAATGAAAATTTGTATATTATCCCGCCTGCATTATTACAGCTAGATAAGTGCACAACTCGGTATTATCGACGCTCTCTCCTGCGCGCGGGGTTTCGGTCACTTGAACGCCAGATGACGAGTGCGCGCGGAGATCACACAGCTGCGTAGTCGACACGTCAAAACAACGGGCTGGCGGAGTCGACGGTGCAAAACGAGAGGAAGAAAGAGAGCGTGCCAGCGATGACGATTCATAACTTGTACATTTTCTCCAAGACCGGCACGTTGCTGTACTACGCCGAATGGAACCGATTGAACAAGTCGGGGATAACGAAGGAGGAGGTAACGTAGTTGCGTGTCTCGTGCGTTGATTAAAGAAACTAATCCGGCGTGTCAACAATGTCACGATTGCTCCAGTTATTTGGACGCTTAGCAAACCCGTGGACCCAAGCGCGGACACTCGTATTACATTTACACATCACGTGCACTGTGGACACGCTTTTGCGTGGCTAGCGCGATAAATGGTTGAGGAAAAGTTGACGTAGAAATAAATGTAAAATTAAAAAGCATAGGCGTACTTTGTTCAATTGAACAGGCTACGATATATTGACGGAAAAACCTTGTTATAACAGTCTGATTTATTTGTTGCGTTAGAATTTTCTTACAGCAATCATATAAGAGAGATGCGTACAGGTGTGAAAGATGATACAGCGTGTCAATTAGGCATTAAAGTTGACAATTACCAGAAGTGTATTTATCTGTTTAGGAAGCAAAATTGATGTATGGGATGCTCTTTTCCATAAAATCGTTTGTAAGCAAAATCTCGCCGTTGGATTCCAAGGAAGGGTTTATGTGTTACAAGACGAGCAAGTATACGCTTCACTACTTTGAAACGCCGTCGGGCCTTAAGTTTGTCTTGAATACTGATAATGCAAGTCAGAACGCCCGAGAATTGTTGCAGCAATTGTACAGAGAAGTAAGGCCCGCGCATCTGCCTCTGCCAATAGAAGCGCACGGTGTAGGCACGTCTGTCTAATCATATGTTGTTCTTTTTCTTTTAGGTCTACCTGGAATACGTAGTAAAGAATCCACTCTGCCGGTTAAACGAACCTATACAAAGTGAATTATTTAAAATAAAGGTAGATGAACTATTTAAAAAATCGCCTCTGTTTCTAAGTCGATCGTTATAGATAGTAAGAAAAATAAAATTTTTATATATAAAAATGAATTGGACTGTTTTAACAATAAATAATACCAAATATCACGTGATACGTCGCTTAAAACCCTTAGGTTTCAAGAGTTCACGTTACAATGGTAAAGTTAGGTTGGTTAAATTTGAATATTAAGTTCTGTGTAATGATACTGATAGTGAATTGTACATTTGGAACGCAATCTTGTCTCAGTTTTAGGTTTTTTTTGCAGCAGTTTATTTTACTTCCCAGAGAAATATATATACACTTGTTACAATGACGTGTAAAACGATAATAACAGTGCTTATTTAAAAGATATTTCTGTGCTGTACAATATTAATGACGGGCAAGTACAGGCAAATTAAATAAATATAGATTTATATATTATTTGTAGATGCCAGTACTCTATAACCATACTAAGTAATGATCCTAATATTTGCGATTTTTGTATAATAAAGGTAGTGCAGTAGGCATTTGGAGTCACAGATATTTCAGCGCACCTTAAGTAATATTATACTATAATTATATATGTCATCCACATGTTTTAATAATTTCAACAAAAAGAACAAAATTTCCATTGAACATTAAAAATACATATCAAATACTGTGACACATATTTAGGAAATATTGTATATGTTACATATTTGTAAAAAAAAACAGTATTTGAAAACTTAAGTATTTGTAGTCCAATATGAAATTATGCTCGTTTTTGTGCATATTAATACATTTTTCTAAAAACATAATACAGGAATCCATATTTTTCTTGATATAAGAATTGACTATAATATACATATTAGTAAAATAATTAACTCATTTCAAATACAATTTTGTATTGAATTTTTAAGTAATTTTTAGGAAAATGAGGACTGGATTATTTAATTTCTCGAATCAACGTATTATAAAAGTACGGTTACTTCGCCACCTCTTTCATATGCTAATGGTATCAATGATTTCGAATATGCACGCTGTGTAAATTTTATTTAAATATAACTAGTACTGTTTGCGTATATATAAAGAAGATGCGGCAGTATGTTATAGTTCAAAATTCGGTTTCCTTCTAGATACGCGTATACAAAATAATTTGTTTCTTGTAAAACTATCGATTAATATATCGATTAATATATCTTATTATTTTTTGTTTTATAAGAGAGTTTAAACTTAGAATTAGAGTAGCTAATACTTTTGAACAAAATTCTTTTCATAAAAGCAATATATGCATTTGAATTTGTTGTATAATTACATATGAAAACTTACCAAAGAAAATTTATATAAAGCACTACCTCCGTAAGTATAAAGTCTTTTTCAATTATTTAATCAGACATTGCTATCGATGATCAATTGGTTCATACGATCTGACAAATGCAAAAATAATATATAAATCACAATTGCTATTTTGTTATTTAACAAAATTAATTTTACGAGATAGCTTCTAAATAAAATTTATAATAGGCTCCATACATATACATACATACATACCTAAAATACACAATATATATAATACATATATATTTATAAGTATATTGTTTATTTATATATTTGTATTTATATATATGTATATGTCTGTACGTATTGCATACCATATCTTCCAAGTGTGAAACTGTAATCTTTTTATTTCGGTATAATATATCGTAAAAAAAACTATATTATTTGAAAATAAAACTACTTTGTCGTATGACCTGTATTTTCACACAGCAAGAGAAAACATATTTTTGGAGAATCTTCATATTCAAATATTCTTAACAGATTACATTAAGCGAGAATGCGTTATACTTAAAGACGTAATGAGCAGTATTCGACTTATAAAATGCAGTGATAATCCGCGAGACGTTAACTTTCATCTTTATAATTCTTTCTTTTAGCTTGTATTGTCCACCTGTTCGTTACAAACCGTATTTCGGGAGCTGGAGAATAATCTAGATATAAGTAATAGGGTTATTTTGTCTGTTATAATAACGATATTCATTCATAAAATATTGGCGCGAAAAGAATTTTTACAAACTTTTCTTCATTGTTCATAACGAATTGGAGGCCAGTACCTGTGTGTATATATGTATGTGTATGTGTGTATGTTGTATACATTCATAAATTTCTAATATATCATAATCACAGCGCAAATGCACTCAATCAGTAAAACTATTTTACCACATTTTTATCTCTTTCCGTATAACATTTGAACTCTACTGCGTGTTGCGTGTATGGGCATGTACGTACAACCTTCGCGTTTATACTTACGGATTATAATTATGTAGTTCAATACATATATACATACTCAAGAATATGTATATACGCACATCGTTTTGCGAGACACATGCATATCGTGACGTCCAGAGACTCAGTCTTAATTTTCTTAGCATTGCAAGCTCTCGTCCGTACTAGTAGGGCTCTGACTCTCGTCGTGTGAAGGCGCGAAGACCCGACTACCAGATGTCTGCGACACGGTCGGTATCGGCTCTTCTATAACAGACAATCGTTTCTCGCGATCCGTAGGTACCGCTGAAGTGTGAAAAAATACATTTCTCAAAGTGGCCACGTTGATGCGTTCCCGCGAAGTATCGTCCACAGGACTCTCGGCGTTCAATTCACCGTTTGAACTCCTAAACAAACATATTGTCGCGATAATTTCGCAAGCTTGCCTTTGTAAACTTAACATTTAGATGCGCGATTCGTACTTTGATATCTTCTGAACCTCCATCTCTATCTCTGAATCCTTGTTTCGCTTTCGCCCTCCCGCTGAACGATTATTTACTCCGCAGCCTTCCAATTTGCTACCCACAACTCTTTCTTGATCTGCTTCAATTACACTGACGTGATCGTCGAATCGTACGCGTTCCGAACCGCCGTCTTCTCCGCACATGGTCCAACTATTGGAGTCGCTACATTGGCGGTCAAATGTAAGCTTACGACGGATACGTTTTGCCAAACCGGGCGCTACCTCTTCAAGCGAACTCAGGGAGGTAGCTTGCCCAGCAGAGTCCATGTGGCCGCCGTTAGCGGAGCTAGCCGCCTGTTCTCCTTCCGTGCTTCTACCACCACTGATTGAACTGCCATCCATCTATATAAATATAATTTAAAAAAAACGAATGGTAAAAGTAATCTTGATATTTTTTTTTAATTGAATATTTCAATGTTACTCAATAATCAAAAATAAAAAAAGAATTTCCCACTTTTAGTATTTAGCAGAACGGAATAAACACCTTAAAGTTAAGAACGGAACCAGCCAAGGCCCTCGTGGAAGCCGCGCCATCGTCCAGAGCGATAGAAGCGTTTACGGACTTTTCAGACAGACTAGTAGCCGCGGAAGCAGTCTCGCTACATAAGCTAAAACGTTGAGTAGATGTAACGTCAGCCTGGACTTCCAACCTGCGGGTAATCGGATATATATGAGTGAAAAGTGCATTATCCAGTCTAAACGAACGAGAGGCGAAGTGATACCTTTGACCTCCGGGAAGCACGCTGGAGGCTATACTCCCCGCCAGACTGGTGCCAGCGAGGGCCACGTTGCTGGCGCTCTCGCGGTCATTTTCCCGGCCCAATTTCTCCAACTGACTACCGCTACCTAGCGAGAGGGAGGCCTCGCCTATCGACGGATTGCCACCGCGGTGACTCGCGACGTCTATCGATGCTGCGTCTGTAACGTGTAATGGAGCTTTCGATCGCGATACGGCCCGACCTCGATACGCGGTATGAATAGCCGCGGCACACACGTGGGTAAGATTGATTTAATCGAGCGGAACGCCCGTGTGCGTGGGCCGTGTAAATGCCTCTTGTATATTTACCTCCGCCGTTGCGAACGCCCAGGGCACCCATCAGCTCGTTCTCATCGTCAAATTCGAATCGCACCCCGGTGCCGCTTGTGGAGACGCCGCAGCCTCCACTTCGACACAGGGACACCGGGACCACGCCGTAGACGTAGAACAGCAAAATTGGCACGCCGATGCCCACTGCTAATCCCGCCAGCACTGGCGACACTAAGACCTACGGGAGCCATAAATAATTTAATTAATAAACACCTTTTTTTTTAGAAAAAAAAAACAAAAGAAGAACTTTCATCGATCATAACGCGTCGCTTGCCAGGACGACAAAGTGTGGGGATAATGTTGCTGGCGTCTTTAAGGCTACTCCTTTAAACAATGCACGCCCGACACCTGTTAAGTAATATAAATAGGAACAGTCTCGGATACACGTCGAAGGCCACGACGTAGTTACATGGAGTTATAAGGAACTCCGATAATGAAAGTTTTAACGCTCAACGTCGCCCGACGCAGCCGAGTAAATCGTGTTCCCGATAAATGAAGATAATTGATTTAAATCAGTCTGTCGTTTCTGTTGATACGATATCCTGTTGTGTCTACATATATCTCGAAGCGACAACTAATCTTATCCTACCCAGAACTGTTATCTAAATCAACTTGGAGCGCTTCTCGTATCAGAATGAAATATTTTGATCAGCATGTGCGCGCTACTATTTCCATGCAGTGCGGCACGGTCGTCCGGTAATCCCGGAGGGGAACGAACGGTCGTCGAGGACGGCAGGACGAGGTGCGGAGGTGCGTTAGCGCGCTCCGATTTTCAGATTTCCTGCGAGACGTCGGAGGGGGAGTCGAGTCTCTCTCCGCCAAAGGCAGAAGAGACCCCGGAGCGCGTGCACATGGCATGTATATACATGGGACACACGTACGCGTCTCCTCTCGGTATGCGCGTGTTCCCTCCTCGCCCGCCCTACGAGCGGCCCCAGAATCCGACGAATCTCTCTGGTGGGGAGGAGATCCGGCAGGAGCAGAAGGAAGAATATTGATCGAGGGTAGGCATGCGCCTGAGCCACGTTATCTTTCTCGTCCCACCCAGCGTCGGGACGGCGGCAGCGGCGGCGACGGCGGAGCGCCAAGCCCAAGGTGGGTGATAATGGGACATGCGTCGCGTTGGTCAGTACTCCGAGGTCCACGTCGGCGTGACGATTGGGAGTAACGCGCGCTTGGTGCGCCTAGGTCGAGGATTCTGGTCGGTTGATCGGTCGGTGCTCCAAGGGCGTGTCGATTGCAAGGACAGGCCGTTCTCTCCACCCCGTGCCGGGTGCATCGAACTATGGCCCGCTCCGAATCGGCGCAGAATCTGCGGCGGCGGCGGCAAACGTAGCCGGGAAGCGGGAGGCAGCGGCACGTAACGAGCGAGGGCTCATTCAGCGACGGTGATTTCACGCTAGCGAGCACACGGACGGACGGACGCGCCATGTCCGACTTGGACGACGGACGAGTCATGTCCGACCTGGACGACGAGACCGACACTTCCTGCGGGGAGGAGCAAGTTGTCTCGGACTGGGAGGTCCGGCAGGAGTGGCTCGAGAGCATATTGTCCAAGCACTACAACGGGAGACCGGTTAGTCAACGTAGACGAGTGAAATAGATGTTTATTTCGACACCTACGTGCCAATTGATAGCGCGTTAACGTCCGCATTGCGCGTTGAATGATTCTGTCCAGGTCGAAATCTTGAAGTTTGACGTAAACCCCGGATGCGCGACGAGCGAGAGCGTGCTGAGCGCGATCACCAGCGTTACGGTAAAGTATCTAGCGGCAATTACGACGAATAAGCCGAAGGACAGGTGCAAAGTGACCCTTATCATAAAGCAACTCCCCAAGGATCCGTTCAGCCGCTTTTTCGTTACAGAAGGCCAATTCGATCTCCGAGAGATTAAGTTTTATACGCAGGTAAGACGGATAGGTAATCGAGATTTGAGATCTTTCCTCCGCTTGAAACAGAATTCCTAATGCTGTGCGTTTGTGTCACGTCAGGTGATGCCGGACTTGAAGGAATTCAATAAGAAACAACTAGCGTCGTCACAGGAGATAATCGTACTACCAGTTCCGCGGTGCTTTCACGCTCATTACAGCCCCGCGGGCGGAACTGACGACAGCCCGATTCCGCCGGAATCGATGCTGGTGTTGGACGACTTGAGCGACTTGTACAAGAGCGTGAAATTCTCGGAAGGACTGACGCTGAATCAAGCGACGGCAGCGTTAGACGCCATCGCCCGCATACACGCCCATTCCCTGTCGATGAAGGTCGTAGACGGACAATCTCTCTCCGAGCGTTATCCGTTTCTCTTCCAAACGGCGAAGGCGACAGACTCGTACCAGCAATTGGTGGAGCGCGGTTTACCGCAGCTGGCCCACTTCCTGGAGAGTAGACCAGGATTAGAGGCGGTCCTCGAGACTCTGCTAGTCCTACGACCCCGCACCAAAGACATCATCTCGGCCCTTCTCGCTCCCAAGGGCCCGCTGGCGTTGATAACCCACACCGACTTCTGGAGCAATAATCTGCTTTTCAGAGATGACAACGGGACGACCGACTGCTTCATTCTCGACTGGCAAATGGTCACTTACAGTCGGCCGACGAACGATGTCGCATTGTTATTGGTGAGTTCAGTGCCCACCGAGTTACGGCGCAAGCATACGAAGACGCTTTTGAACACGTATTGGGACAAGCTGAACTGGACGTGCTCGCAACTTGGCCTAGATATACCCAAGGATTTAGGTTACACCAGGGAAGATCTCGACCAGGACTACAGGAAGTCCCAGCTGCTGGCGCTCTTACTCTGCATCGGATCGGTGGACGTCGCACTCGGCGATCCCCTCACGGAGCAACGACTGATCGACGTCCTCGAGGATCTGTATAACGACGGCGTACTGACGGACGAAGCCATCGTCGCGACGTACGTTAAAGACAAGGCTCGTCGTCTTTAACACCGCTGCCACGGTTAGCGTATGCACCGAAGAATTAATATTTCTGTCAGGGCTGTGACTCTAAGCGAAGAGTTTCACGTGAAGCAATAGATAGCCCGTTTGTAGTTTAAAGACACAATCTTTGTGTACCCAATCCAAAGGAGGCTTAAACCAGCAATAACATGAATGCCGGCACCGAAGAGGATAGCTGCAAGAAGCACGTCGGAAGAACACGAACGGTGGAAGTTAAAAATTTCCGTTCTCTTTGCGAGACGAGACACCGAGATGACCGGGACAAAATGGCTCGAGATCGATATGCTTAGAGGATACAATAGATGTCTCAGTTATATATTAATGTAAGCTTTGACAACCTATCGGCCATCGCTCCTTAAAAGCTACACTATTTCAATGACTATTCGCACTCGCTTGCAATTTGATGAAAGTCTCAAAGGTAAAAAGATAATCGGAAGCAAATCTTTTTAGGAGAAGCTGCATAACAAACGTATTGATTTACAAAACGTTTCTCCAATGTGATTTTGATCAATTGGTTTTCTGCTCACAGACACAAATTGCTAATGGACGTCTTTAATGCGCTGTGCCAAGTCGTTAAAGATCTAGGCAAGTAGTTGTGATACGATAATTAAGACGAAGCAATTATTAAGAATCAACTAGATCCATGATTAACGATATAGGACTTATATCAAAGTTATAGAGTATTTTCGAGATATACGTGAAACATAAAACAATTATACGTTCCATTTGCCCGAATACGTCCCGTGATAAACTTCTTCCGACAATTATTCCAGCGAACGCGCTGTTATGTTAACGCTATATACAATTATTGTACTATCCATTTTCTCTGTATAAACTATATGGATAAAATATACTTCGATGTTATCACGAATAGCAAACAAAGTTCCTACTGCTATCGATACAGACACACATATATTCTTTTTCTTTCGGTTGTAAATGGAATTCACACTCGTCCACTTTCATCGTGAACGAGAAGTATCAAATGTTTAGATTAAATAACGCTTAATCACGAAACTTTAGGTGCAACCGTACCGACATGTTGTGCAAACATTGAAAGTGGCACACTTCAATGGTTATAAAAAATATTTAATAAACTTACTGATGCAGTGACTCCTCCTGCGATAAAGGCATTTCTCTTGTGTTTGTTGGCCTTCTCGTATCTCGTATACAATTTCTGTCCTACCCATACCGGTATACCTTAAACACAAAATGTACAATATTTGTAGTAACACATATTCTTTCTTTTCAGTGCAGTTTTCGACGTCACATATTTCAATGTAGTCGCAATGTGAGCCATTTAAAGTATTACAACCAACCTATAATCATGGCTGGAAATGCTATACCAGCGACGAGACCAATTCCAATTGGTGCCCCCACCAAAGTTCCAAGTTGCCAAAGAATTTTTTTCTTTCTGGACCACGGCTTTTTACCCCAAAAAGTACAACCAGAGGGACTGCCGAAAATAGAAAAGAAGAGAATAAAATAGAAAAGCATTCAAGTATTTCAGCTCGTTTAGATATTGTACGCATTCATAGCTTTAAATACCAAATACAATTGAACGTACCTAAGATAATGAAGATCACTGATCTCTTTCATACAAAGCCAACAAAACTCAGCGCCGCAAACTGCACAAGTCATGTGATTGCAACTTCCATCGTCCATTTTGACAATCAGAACTTGACATCTGGGGCATGGTTTTATGTCGTCTCCTAAACACATCACGGATGATAAGTATAATTTCAGGTTGGTTAATAAATGTTACAAATAAATGTTAATTCTCGCGACACTTACTGTGCTGCGAATCAGTTTGACTGAAACTTAAAGAGGAGCTGCGCTCGTAATATTGAGATCGTTGCGCTCGGGCAGCATCGCACGTTTGATTGGGATGCCATCGTGCTTTACAATGATAGCAAAAGTACGAATCGCAACCTGGTCGCTCGCAACGTAATTTTGGACATGAGGCGCAACCGCTAGCGATTACGGCAAAACTGCAATCCGGAGCGGGACACCATCTTGCGTCAGGCTCTACGGCAAGGACTCTTCGAACCATAAAATCCTCGTACTTCTCTAACTGCGTTTGGTCATTCAGAATCATCCGAATATCTGTATGTGCAAAGATATAACACATAAGACTGTGAGCGACGGCAACTCGTAAATTTTATGATAATAAGGAAGATGTATACTGTTACAACAATGCAATTATTGAATATACTCGTTGACTCACCATTTGGATGCAACGGTTCTGAACACTCGGGGCAAGCGATATTAACTCTGGACTCGGAGATCTCCACTTTCAAATATTGTTGAAAACAGTCGTAGCAACTGCGATGATGGCAAGACTGAATAATAGGAAAGAATTCTACTGGCAGTTCGGCTAAGCATAACGGACACTCCATCAATCCGTTCTCATTGCTCTGAAATAACAAACGTAAAAAAAAGATTTAACAACGTTGTCACGATGAGAAAATCCGCGGCTTTTACTTGGTTCTTTCCTCGATATAAATGTCCCGCTTTATTAATACCTTTCCCGCAGAAGAAAGCACAGAGCCTTTGCTGGAAGCGCGCTGTAGGTCTATATTGTGAAATTGGAAATGGCTCGAGCCGTTGCTTACTCTGGCCTCTCCTTTCTCAACATCCGTCGCCCTGCCGCTTGCTTGATCTTTAGCTGTAAAATGTTTTCTATTTTGAAAAACTATTTCTTTCAGTTATTATGTGTATATACAAGGTGTTGATGGAAGGACCTTAAGGACAGAAGATAGTACTCATGAAATGGAGCAAAAATCTCAATATAGATTGAACAATTAATATTTTCAGTTATAAACAGCCGGGAATTTTTTAAAGAGTTTCTTCATCGACACTTTACAATTCAAATGCAGAGTTGATATTTTTACTTTCATTGCAAGAAAGTAACCGCAAAGTAACGATTCATTATTTTTCGAGTAACTGTAACTGTAACGCGTTACTTTTCAGAATTAGTAACTTGTAATCAGTTACATTTTTAGCAAAAAAAAACTGTAACTGTAACTAGATACTTTTCTAAAGTAACTTTCCCAACTCTGCAATTTTGTAATGTGAAGCATATGTGAAAATGGGAGGAGGAGACCTTCTGTAAACTTTAGAGTTTGAAGAATTTTTCTCTCTTTCTTCTTCTGAAAAAGTGAAATTTACTTCAGCTGAAATAAAGAATTGTTTATAACTCCGAAAACATTAATTTCACTACGTTTACTGGGAGGCTCCATTACACGAGTACTATCTGCCCTTAAAGTCCGGAAGTCCTTTTTTAACATCCTTTTCTTTACACTGTGTACATTGCAGATCTCGACAGAAAATTTACAAGTTACCTTTTGTATTCCTATTACTTGCGCTGGGCGTTCTGGCAATACGGCGGCCGATAAGCGGACTGGAATACAATAATCTCCGCAGGGAAAATCGGGGAAATATTCTCCGGGGACGAGGTGGCGCACCGTTGCAGCCACCCACGCCGTTTTCGCTTTCCTTAAACATTCTGAGAGAAATCTTGGGAGATGTTACACGGTGCTACAAAATCATACTTCGCCTCGTGATGATTCAGAGTCACAGGTTCTGCAATCAGAGCGAACAATCGCAATTAATTATGATACCTGAAACGAACACGCGATTTACTACTAAAATCCTGTACGAAGGCGCCGCACATAATATTAACTCGAGTGATATTTTCTTTGCCGGTGCTAAATAACCGAACAATTAATATTACTCAAGCCAAGTCTGGCGGATTATATTAACTCGCAGAAAAGTCGTGCGTCCGATTGAAATTACTCTGCGCGCGCGGATTATAATTTATACAGAGTTTCCACGACAAATGTGCGCAGCTGTTCAAACAGGACATTAGTGAGACGTTATACCGATTAATATGTTATTTCGCGCTGCATAAATACAGTGACGTAACAGGTGATACGTGGAACACCGAGCTTGTTAATCACGCGGCACGGACGTAGAATTGAAACAAACTTGGGGTCGCGCGCGTGACCGCGGCAATAACAGCGATCTCGCTTATTCATTGCCGTTGTCATTCAAGTGATTCACCGCGGAGGATAATTGAGGAACCTAATGAATATCGGCGTCTCCGTCGTCGAGGCGCTTGGACACGCACGCTCGGGGCCGCGTTACACTTAGGTGCGTGTCGAGGCGTTATACGCAAATAAAATCCAACGTGCTAGCGTGATAAGCCGAGCGTGCGCGACGAATGAATCGCGCGACTTGTTGCGCTACCTGCGATCGCCTTTGCCGAACGGGAATTCCGAGCGTGCTCGCGACATTCTCAAAAGAAACGACACGATCGGAAGCGTCTACCGAATATTCCCTCGGGCGAATTAACGCCCGCGCGTATCCGCGAAAGAACGACCGTTTATTTTTTTTTTCCTACTCCCGCTGCTCGCGCGCCCGGTATTTTTACCGGAGTTTTCGTCAAAATGATGCGCCGCTTTCTCTGGGAAAGGAACGGCACGAGTCGAATCGCGTAAACGCGGTGGCCATCGGCGATTTCACCGTCTCTATGGGACGCATGGATTAACGTGTTGCAATACTCGAGAGTCAATGTAATATGCACGAAATTTCGACACGCTCGAAGGAGAGATGGATCGTATTCCCCCCCTCTCTCTCTCTCTCTCTTTCTCTCTCTGCGTGAGATACGCGTGTTTTCCAAGATCGTATCACCCGTTATCTTGTAAACCGGATCTGCCGGTACAAAATGCCATTGTCTTGCGCCGTAAGTGCGAATCGTTTTCCTCGTATAGTCTCACGTTACGCGATTGAAATGACTCTCGGCAGCAAAAATCGTGCGGCCGCCAAAGCGAGGTCTGCCGCGATTTGAATATTGTTGAGGAGTATAAAATAATGCGCGCCTCGCTTATCCAATTGTCGCGCATTTAAAGTTCGATTTATTCGAATCCTTTGAACTCTAACGCGCGGGCGGAACGGACTCGAGCTCTTAATTAGAATGCGACGCGCGTGGTATAAATGAATATTGATTATACAATGTAAATAGTAGCATTCGTACAAAGATAAGATCTCGCAAAAAGCGAAAGTTGTCTCCGGCGACGACGGTGACGTCACCCCTGCGTTTTCCTACTTCGATACGCGGAGTCGACACAGATCGACGCGGAGCTGGGCCACTTTTACGTCGTAGCACCGAGAGACGGAGATGCAACGCCGATTCGGGGAAGCTCGCTGGCCCCGATGCCGATCCGAATAAGGCGCAGAGATCCGCGCGCGCCGTGTCCGGGATCGAGATGAACCGCGCGACGCAGCTTCCGATCGAGACGATTCGAGCGGTGGCATCGTCCATCGCGGGGGATCCACGCGGCCCACGGAGAGACGGAGAGACGTCTCGGGGATCTCTCGCGTCCGCGCGACGGGCGAGTCGTGCGTGCCGCGGGTCGCGTGACGCGCGCGGAGGAAGGGAAGAGAAGAGGGCGAACCGCGGGGACTCGCGACTCCGACGTTGCGCCTCTGTTTACCCGCGGGACGCGCGCGTCAACGTGCGTGTCAACGGGCGCGCCGCGGACGGTGCGCTCGTCCTTCCTCCTCTTCCCCGCCGCGCTCGGAAGATGCTCGAGATAAGGCGCGGCCGAGAAAAACCCTCCCGTCTTCTTATCGCCCCTTATCGCCGCGAAGGCCGCGGAGGGCCGATGACTGGGCACTCGCGAACACGCCAAGAGTCCGTGGGGGGACCCACGGTCTCTCCCCGCGACGGGCGAACGCGTGCTCGCCGTCGTCGCCGAGGGGGGAAAAAAAACCCGACGTACCTGCGTCTCGCGTGCCGGTCGAGCGGTCGAGATGAGCGCGGCCACGTCACGGATCCACCGGGTCGTGCGAGGCTCTGGCTGGAATATCCGCGCAGTTTGTTGGTTAAGGACTGTTCGCCTCTGACACAACAGCTGACTGCTACGATTACGACGGCGTTGCGGGCAGGAGTCGGAGAGGTAGATCGCGACTGGGGAGCGCGCGACGGTGGCGCCGCCACCGGCGGTCAGCTGGTCACGCGCCGAGCCGCGGGAATTTTAAACTCGAAACACCCCGGGTGAACGTCAAGCGACAATTACAGTTAGCGATTGTAAAATTACGGTAAACAGAAATCAAAGAGGCGCCGGAGACTCAATTTTGTAAAATGAAGGTGAGTAACGGGCTAATAATTTATTAAACACAGTGGAACTCTACACTGAAATTCGCTACTCGTCAAACTTGAAAATGTTTTTAATTGTAACGTCTAGAATCTTGTATTTATATTACAGATGTAACGAATAACGAGTTTCAATTTTAATTTTAATGACTTGAATTGTAAATACATCGTAGACGTGACGAATAGCGAATTTTAATGTATTAACTGCATTTATATTATTAATTAGGTCTGCACAGCCCGTTATTTTATAAGCTCAATATTATAACTCTCCACTCAACAATGCAAATGTAATATGACGCGTGTTGTACATAATAGTTATATTGAGTAGGAAATTATAATATTGATGGTAATTATACATATAATGTTTACCGGGGTTGCTCTCCCGGTAAATTAACTAACGCGCTGCAGTGGAGCGTGCAAAAGTAATTAACGGGTTCGCTGTGAAATATCTGTTGGCGTAATTGCTGCGATAAATCCACAATTCGATAGGAAAAGGCATCTCTCGTCCTTGCAAGTTGTAGATTGTTTCGATGAAATGACGTGACGATGAACAGTCTGAAACGAACGCGTATTTAAAAACTAGTATCGGTCTAATGTAATTTGCATCTTGTTTTCTTTCTATAGCGAATTCAGCAGCTTTCACTAGTGTGCACTAAGGCTTGTTTACAGTCAATTCTTATATTTAAGAATGGTCTTAAATACTTTGTGAAATACTTGCAGTAAAATGATCTGTGCAGCATTCGTACGGATAATTGTTTGGCTAAATAGTTCTTGGACATGTCCTTGAGATAAATATAAGAGTAGACTCTGAACAAGCCTTGGTGCGCACTCGTTGTCAGTGCGCACTAGTGCAAGCTGCCGAATTCGCTATTACATGAAAAGCAATCGTCATAGTTATCGGCGCCTTTCGGAATTGTGCGCAGTTCAATTCATGCAATATGCATTTGTGCACACGTAACTGATATCGATACTGACGTAACGACTACTCGCAATTAACATTTGCGAAAAAATTTCGTATAAATATTAACATTGACGAGATGTGCAAGTTCACACCATGCGAACGCGTGCATTTTTAAAATTACGTGATATTCCGCGAAACGTTTGCAGGAAGTATCGCGAATATTTAAATTTCCTTACTTACGTCATAAATTGATAATAATATGTGAGCAAGGCGGAAATGAGCTGGAGATAAGTATACATAATTAGACAGAATACGTAAATGAATGAATACAGATTTAATATAAACGGAAATCCTCGCTTAATTATAACAATACAAACAGTTTAACAAAATCCTATTTATCTACAAATGGGGGCAATTTATATATAACGCGTATTAATTGTGCGCATCGCGACAGAATTGAAACGTCTATTTATTCTTGGCGTCCTTGCCTATTGCATCAGTCACAGAAGAAAACCCGTTGGTTTCGAGTATCTCGCACAATTCCCTCTTGATCTTGCCAACTATCGGCGGCCCGTTGTATATGTACGAGGTGTAGAGTTGCACCAGCGAAGCGCCGGCTCTTAACTTGACATAAGCGTCCGATCCTGAAAACACGCCACCCACGCCGATAATTGGGATGCTGCCGCCCGTCCGTTTATACATGTCAGCTATCATAGCTGTGGAAATGTCTGTGAGAGGCGCGCCGCTGAGTCCACCGCTCTCCTCCTTATTTGGACTAATCAGGTTTGGCCGTGTAACCGTGGTATTGCACAGAATCAAGCCGTCGACTCGGGATCTCTTGCTCAAAACCACATCCGCCACATCCTGCCGCTCGGAATCCGACAGATCCGGAGCCAACTTTAGGAGCAACGGCTGCCTGCTACCCGCCAATTCCCTCGCTGCGTTTATCCGCGTCAGCAGCTCCTCCAGATTGCTCCTGTTCTGCAGAGACCTTAAACCCAAGGTATTAGGACTAGACACATTAATCACAAAATAATCCGCTACATCCTTGAATCTTTTTATGCCGTCGATGTAATCTTGAGTCGCGTCTCTCGTCCCCTTGTTCATCCCTAAATTCACGCCGAGAATGCCGTTGAAACTTTTGCTCCCCTTCAATTCCTTGAGGCGTTGCCACACGACGTCGTGGCCGACGCTGTTAAATCCATATCTATTTACAACCGCATTATCCTCCGGCAATCTAAACACTCTGGGCTTCGGATTGCCGGGTTGAGGTTTAGGCGTCACGGAACCTGCGAGAAAGAGAGAGAGTGCGGTAAAAGGATAAGTTCTCGTCCTACGTCCAAGGGCGCGTGTCCACCCCAAGAGTATCTAAGCTCCAGGCGACATACTTTACCTATCTCTACAAAACTGAAACCGATGTTGCGCAGTCCCTGCACTGCCTCCCCTTGCTTATCGAATCCCGCTGCCATGCCGATTGGATTATCGAAATGCATGCCGAGCACGGTCGTCCGCAGCGAGGCGGGATCTTCCGTCTTCTGCCTCGGCACGAGGCCATACTTGAGAGCCTTCACCGCGAGCTTGTGGGCGGTCTCCGGATCTATCAGCTGCACCAGCGGCACCGCGACGTCACTGTAAAATCTCTCGTTGCCCTGGTAGAGAGAGATACCGCCGAACAGAACGACAGCGCTACTCGTCACGGTCAGGAACGACCTGAGCTTCGCCTTGTTGCTTAATCGCCCAGCCATTCCAATTGCGATGTTTTCATTCCAATTTATACGAGCTTTAATTTCTTACGAGCTACAGACACACATGTGCAAATGCAAACTTCAACTTCCTCGGGCGGGGGGGGGGGGGTGGAAAGAAAAAGATAGTAAACGGAGCTCACGTGTTCGTAAGAGATTTAGGTTAGACACGTGATAAATTGAGTTAGACATTAAACAAGACGATATCCACTTGTCAGCTACACAACATAACCGCGCACCAACGCGCAATTCCGTTAAACGTAATCGTAGACATTTTTTAAATAATTATTGTCACCACTAACCACTGAAATGTACTCCGGATGCAGATGAAAACAAGAGCGCGAGTGCTGCGTACTGCACGAGAGTGCACGAGTGCAGTGCACGACCGAGCTGTCGGCCTCTCTTCTGGCGGCAGAGACGCGAATCGCTTACACTTGACTGAAAAGAAAGGTTTTCCTTTTTTTAATAATTCCTATATGCGATCGTTTGTATTTTGTATCTCGCTAAAATGGGTCGAAACGTTTGGATATTAATTATAATAAGAATTTTAATAAGCATGGAAACGACCTTACTGGCAATTCTTTATCACAATAAAACACAACGGCCAATAATACTGGTCCTCTTCGGGTAACAAACTTACAAGAGCGCCTAGAAATGTCTGAGGAACAGATAAACAAAATATGAACTAAATTAGGATAACGTCAGGAATTATTTGACGCCAGTACATGACTAACAATAATTAAGCTTGTAATCGACCACAACTGGCAACGTGTCTTTGGCACAGAAAATTTATTGCGAAAAAGTCAAAAATATATACGTAGACAACATCTTTATACCGTTATTGCGACAAATGTTATCACATGCCTCGGTGTTCGAATTGAATAAGAGACGTTGCCAGTTATGGTCGATTGCAAGCTTAATTAAATAAATGCAGGAAGGAGAGAGTGCCAATGTGAGCCACAAAATGAACGGAAACTCGGTTCTCACAGTATAGAATCCAAATTTCTCTTTAATAGCATAAACGTTTCGACCCTTCTTCCTCGGTAAAAAAACTACAATGAGATCATCGAAAGTACAGGATGAGAATACAGTGCAAGTTGTGATACAGATTGGTTCAACAATTATAGTTAGTTACCTCGTTTAGACCGAATAAAGGATAAGGCAATATCTTAGAGGATCAGCGCACTATGCGACTTCAGAGTCATTCTTCTATCTGTGTTAATATTAGTCTCCAAATGGTCCCAGACACAAAGAGGACTGAAAAACTCGACAGAGGGACGAATCCGTGACAATGGTGTTAAACGACTGTGAGACAGCATTATCGAACAGGTGAAACTTAATAATAATAAAGCGTGGTAAACACAGCAGGGTAAAATCATGAAGTCATGTGTCTCAACTTTACAGAACAACAAAAGGCGCAAAATTCAATTTATGTCCAAATGAATTAGTTTATTGTCCTAATGAAAGCTTAATTAAATTAGGATAAGTTCTTATATAACAGAAAAGAAAATTAAGGTGTTATTTTATATAATAAAACTTACAAGATTCGCCAGATTAGAGATGTGAAAATTAAGTTAGAAGTCAGAAATTTCGTTGTACAATGTGTCTTGTTGTTAAAAACAGAATAAGCGATAAATAAACCCAAAGTCATGTATAGGAGTTATAAGGAAACGTGGGAGGGGAGAAATGCAAATATTAAGTTATTCTAATTATATCGAGTGAAAAAATATCGATCGACGAGTCATTTCTCGCTAGGTAGTCGGAATAGATCAATTGAACAAAGTTTGTATAGGAAATCGTTTGTATTTTGCAGTGATTTGCGAGTGTATCGCGAAGTGAATACCTACTCGGTACTTATTAATTTTTGTAATATTCTACTAGTAAGCGGACGTTTTAATTCTTTAAGATTCTTGTTTCTCAAATTTTTTAAACTAGTAATGTTTTGTACTAATTTTTACAAAATTGTATATTTTCATGAAATACTATTTGCAATAATTTCTTGATTTGAGACCAATGCGCGATGTATTCGCTCGTGAGAATCAAAGAGACATCCCTAGCGGAAAAAATTTCTATAAATAACTACAAAAATTGACTTGAAATAGAAAGTAGAAATTTTTAAATTTTTGTTGAAACATTAATTTTTGTGTAAAAATATCTACGAAATAATACCACAAATTACAATGTTCTCAAATCAAGAAATTATTGCAAATAGTATTTCATGAAAATATACAATTTTGTAAAAATTAGTACAAAACATTACTAGTTTAAAAAATTTGAGAAACAAGAATCTTAAAGAATTAAAACGTCCGCTTACTAGTAGAATATTACAAAAATTAACAAATAACTATCGCAAATTTTCTTTAATAATGATTTCCAAAAATTTCAAATGTCTATAACTCAAGAACTAATTAATCATATTTTAATGAATTATACATATATGAAATTTGGATTGAAAAAACTGAAGAACAATATAATATAAAATTAAAAAAAAGTAAAGTAAAGTAAAGTGTGCAAATTAGAAATTTGCACATGGCTTCCTCATAGAGGAAGGTTTAGGAGCGAAATCTAATTTTTTTCGATGTTTCTTGAAAGTGTGCGAATTAGAAATTTGCACATTGCTTCCTCATCATTGAAGCGTGCAAATTGGAAATTTGCACATTTCTTCCTCATCATTAAAGTAGACAAATTAGAAATTTGCACATTGCTTCCATTGTTACGGCTTCCTTTAATTTACATAAAATTTCTTAGATTTTGGCAGTTATATTCTTTGGTTTGTAAAATTTTGTAGAATTATTTCCGGCAGGAATGCGACGAGAATGTCGAAAATACATCGCGTCGCGTACTTTCGCATAATTTGTAATCTCAATTAATTATTTCGTTGAAACTATCCGCTGTACTTTCGTGAGTGTTGCGTGTATTGCGACGTGGGAGTTCGCTAATATTCACTCTGTTGGAGTAAATATTCACTCCAATAGGGTGAACATTTCACTCCAAGTCAGTATA